CGCACGATTCTTTCTTTGTGATACTTTTGTGCCCAATCCGTCATGTTAAGCCGAGGAAGCACCATAGACTGACCCGACACATTGAGGTGAAGATGGGATAGAGAACGCTAATTATGCAACCAATTGCAAACAACCGGCCAAGCCAAAATCAGATGGGTATTGCTAACGCCCAGCTCCACCGTTAAGTACATATTTTCTACATGCCTAAACAACATACGTTAGGGATTGTGGTGATGGTGGGGCCGTGTGATAGGAGTCATGATGTCACTTACTGCTTTCAAAACACTTAACCTCTCCGTGGAGTCGAGAAACACCCGATGATATTGCGTTAAGCTTTCCTGAACAACGGCCTGACGTGTATTCTGTCCTTCACAAATGGCTTTCATCTTGAGCTCCATCTGTTTTCTCAGGAACGGCTTGCTGAGGCTGACTTCGAACTCCATGTTATCATAGCCTTCCACTAGGGCGACTCCAAGTGTGGTCGGGATGAACTCTTCCACTCCACCTCTGTCCCCCGCATCTGCAGCTGCAGCTCCCCCTCTACCCCCTCTTCCACCCCTTCCACCGCGTCCGCCACGTCCGCCACGTCCTCCTCGGCCTGCAGCTGGCGTGTTGTCATCATTATTTCCGGCAGCGGCCCCACCTGCCTTGGGCCTCGTAAACACGTATTCACGCTCTTTGATCTTAGCAATGTGCTCGGCCATAGTTGCATCAGTACCGATTCCATTTGCGTCCATTAAAGCAATTAGATCAGGCTCAGTTAAAAACCCTGGAGCTGTTGTTTTCCCATCCGTGATCATGGCCTCGTCGGGTTCAAATGTTTCCCCAAGGGTAAATTTTGGCAATGATGTACTGCTGTTCCATCTCTCGTAAACATAAACATCCAGATATTTTTTTGCCAGCACAACTAGTCCATGCGTGTGAAAAGTTTCCTCCCCATATTCGAGCTCCACGTCAGTTGCTTGCCCTTTAGCATCTTCTGAGCAACAGGCTAGGAACCTCCGAACAACAAATTCGTAAACCCGAGCTTCTTCTGGTCTCAAAGCAGTGGATGCAACGTATGTCACAGGATGAATAGGCGGATGTGCCTTATCGTCATTTCGGCCTTCTCGAGGCCAATGAAATCCCCCATTCATCAGATTCTGAGCAAATGTTCCCCATCGATTATCTTGAACTTGCTTTTCAACTAAAGCTCTCAAATTCATCCCTTTGTCGAATCGATCAGTCTCCGTCCTCGGATAACTGATGAAACCTTTTGTGTAGAGGCTCTCTGCTGCAGTCATAGCCACCTGACTGTTCATATGCAGCCAGCGACTAGCAGCTTTCTGCAGCTCGACGGTAGTTAGAGGAAGAGGCTTCCACTTGCTAGTCGGTTTCTCCTGTACCTTGGTGACCTTAGCAACTTTTGCAGCAAGACAACGTTCAAATAATATGATCACAACTGCGCGATCAAATAGACGATTGCGCTTCCAATTGAAGATGACGTTCATGTCTTCTCGACTGTGCGTAACCTTAATGCTCCAGAATGGTTCGGGTACGAAGTTCTTTACTTTGAAATATCGATCAACGACAAAACCGAGAGTGGGAAACTGACAAGAACCTAGACCGCTGTTAGTATGCAAAACCCTTATCAAGATGGAAATGGAGTTGTTTTACCATAGCTCAACATTTTTGTTGCCAATGGCCCTCCTAACTTTTGAAGGTTGGTTGTCTGAAACCGTGTAAATGCATACCCAATCCTTAGATCAAGTTCTATACGAGCAGCCACAGCATCTACTTGACGTTGATCTAAGTTGACTGGATTTTTGGCTGCTTGAATTACATGCCTTTGGTAGTTAGCTACAAATCTGAAATCACAGAGTGTAGATTCACTTACGCTCGCTCAATATTACTGAACCTTGCCCTCTTGATCTCAATTCGTGGGTTGCCTTTGAGTGCTTGAGCTCTCACTTCAGCACCAATGTGCTCTCCCTCACGATCACAATCAGTCCATATGAAAAGAGCCTTAGCACCTCTTGCCTGGGCCTCGATATTCTGTGCGACATCTTTCTTATCCTATGGAAATGCATCAGTGGGAAAAATTGCTAAGCAAAGAATGAGATCAAATCACCTCAGCAACAGATTCGATAACCTTGGCTCTGAAAAAGAGTTCTTGGGGTGGAGGGTCAGTCCAACTTTTGTGAGTTGGAGCAACATCGAGAGAGGTAAGGTGCCCCAAGACCGAAGTCATGACCGCATTACAATGACCCCATTGTCCACCAAAATCGAAGGCGAATGAGTAGTTCTTGATGTATTTGTTGCGAGTATTTCCCTTGTTTGATCATTAGATAATGTAGTCATGATGTAGCAAAATTTGACATTGTAACTCACTGCTTGAGCATTGCCCCCAGCTAAATGATTAGCTACAGCTTTGGCAATAGAAGGCTTCTCTGCAACACAAAGAATCTTTGCAACCATCTTGATATCAGATTCACGTTTGTTCGTTCACGTGTGATCCTTTTCCATCGCCAACTCCTAGTCTACGAGGCCGTATGGATGAAACTCTTATAATACTTTCCTCGGTGACACGAACGAACAAACGTCTTGGTCTATAAGCATTGTTTTGTTACTCCGCTTCATAGAATTAATTGACCTATTGGGGCATGGACTCGCAAGAGTATCATGAAACTACCAGTATCAGTAAGTAAAGATTATGTACCTGAGATTGATGCCTATGCTGTTGCCATCAATTCCAGGTTGATGAGATTTTTATAATGTACGGATCCGAATACGAAAAAGCTGCAGGTGCCCCGGCGTTTGACTTGAATCATATTTTATTATACATTTATACCTATATTTACAAAATTATTTACTGAAGCCGTAGCTTATCGAGCTCGATCATTGGCTGTAGCTCCATAAATCCATGTCGGCATATATATCCCCGCTAAATGAAAAACGATGTCATTAAGAGCTTCAAAATTCAAGCTTCACTCCGTCCACTCCGACAACTCTACCTCTTTCGCCCCTTTGGCAAACATCAATTCTTTAAGAACTTCGAGGATATCGAAGTTAGCTTGACTCATCTAACTACAACCCTATTATTTCCTCAATATCGAGCAACAGAGAAATTAGCTTGCCACAAGCATGGCGTTGCCAGTCATCAAAGCAATTGAGGATTGTTCAAACATCACGAAAACAGTCTTGCCATATCTGCCACAATTGTACGATTTACCTCAGCAAGTACTTCAATCATATTCGAATCCTACCGAGCTTCGCAATCTCTATCTGGCCACGAATCCACTCATAACCGCCTTCGCATTCTCGTTGTTCTTAGCGCCTGTATTTCTATTGGTTTCGGAGGTCAACAAAAACTATTCTCAAGTCGACAGATGCTGGAGTATCTTGCCTACCATATACAATGCCCATTTTGCCGTCTATGCACACCTTTCTGGTCTACCAACAGGGCGATTAGACAACATCCTCGCTTTTAGTACAATATGGAGTGTATGTAGCCCCCCTTTCGATTTGGGAATCTGGTTTTGACAAGCAACAGTTACGCTTGACATATAATTACTGGAGAAAGGGCGGCTATAGCATTGGATCCGAAGATTATCGCTGGTATGTCTCCCTTTGCTGGGTGTGAGTTTAAGGCTAACCACTTCCCAGGGAGATTGTCCGACGAAATGTCCCTCCAGCACTCTTTTTCGTCTTCAACATCGTCTTCATATCATTGGCACAAAGCGTTCTACTCTTTTCAGTTGCAACGCCATCATATGTCATGCTCTTAGCTGCACGATATGGAGTACCGTGGACGACGGCAGATTTGATATTCTCCAGAGGTCTTATCACTCTTGTTGTGTTTGAGTATTTTGCAGATGGACAACAGTGGAGTATGTGATTATAGGTGTCTTTTCTGTTGCATAGCTAACGTTTTTCAACCCCAGACTATCAAGCCGCGAAGCAACAATACTTGAAGACTGCCAAAGTACAAGGAGGATTCGATCAAGAGTCGCTCGACCGCGGCTTTGTGACCTCTGGTCTCTGGTCCTTCAGCAGACACCCAAATTTCGCCGCTGAACAGACTATATGGGTAGTACTCTATATGTGGGGCTGCTGGACCAGTGAAGTATTATTCAACTGGACATTTGCCGGTGCCATGTCGTACTTGATTCTGTTCCAGGCCTCAACTTGGTTGACCGAGCTCATTACTGCAAAGAAATATCCAGATTATCAGGAATATCAAGCCCGGGTTGGCAAATTCTTGCCTAACATCTTTTCTACTGGGCCAATCTTCGCCAAGGCGGAGAAGAAAGCAGCCACAGCCGTTAAAGGCGATCGAAAAAAGGTTTCAGCCAGCAAGTAAACAGATAGCAGTGCCAAATGAGGTTTCGATTTTCCGTCCTTACAACCTCAAACAGCTGGTCAGGATAGGCAAATGACAAGAGAAGGGCAAGAGAGTATTTTCATAAAACGTACAGAAGAGGTTCAATTGTATTGTATTCTCTAGAATTGTCACAAAATAATATTTATGATCATTGTCGCTGTACATCAACTCAGAGCCCACGTTCGTTTCTGTCTAAAATCATGTTTCCTTGTATCACAGAGCAAACATGAACTCCCAAGACCGTTCTTTCTGTAATCTTCCTGCCCTACTCAATAGATTCGCCTTGCTAGCAAGTTTGGCAAGTGCCATTACAATAGTTTCACCACTGCAGACATCATTCCCACCCTACATCCCTTTAACTCTACATACCTACTTCATCACGCCTATTCTCCATCAAGTTTTATTAGGAACTTAGCGACCTCACATCTTTTAGAATCATTGATCATCTTATTCCCTTAACTATTACAAGCATATATTTTTTAAAATATCTTGCGGAATAATAGAATTTTATCCCCCATCGCTATCATCTTATGAAAGATTGTACCACAGCCAGCCCTGGAACCTATACTATCTCTTTCGATCACACCATTATACTTTACGCACAAAGTCAGTTGGACCTTGGTAGTGCTACATCGTCATGCCAGAGAAGCACGAATTTGATGTGAGATCACTCAGACGAGGCTCACAAAGTTATGAACTGGAACAGCACAACCTACCGCCAGACACTCATAGTAGCCCACAATCATCAGTGCTCCCACCTCCATATTGTGTACAAGATGAATATCCTCCCTGTGACCCAGGACACATCTCGACTACAGACAACCCGGCAAACGAAAAAATCGCGACTGCGACAAATATCCATGATCCTGAACTGTGCCCACATTTTTCCGAATGGGAAGAAGATTGCAACATCGTCAATCTCACACATAGACCGGGCAAGCAACCTCCCGATAATAAGATTGGTGCTCGAGAAAATCGCCGACAATTCAGATCTGAGATATGGGAGGCTCCGAAAAAGAGCCCAAAACTGAGAACAATACAAACTTTCACACCGAGGAGATTCATCTCCCGCACATTCCCTGCCGATTTCTCTACGCAGCCATATCTCGACCAATGCTATGATCGGCCATATGGATTCTCTCCAAGAAACCCGCTTCCAGAAGGACATGAAAATACAAAATCAGTCCAAGATCTATGCCTCGAACTAGAATATCTGCAGAAGCAAGTAGCGTATTTAAAATCTGCTATCATACCAGCCGAGCAAGAACTACATTCATTGGCCGCACGTTTACCAAGAAACGGCAATGATGGTTCACCCTTTGATATTCTAACCATGGCTGAAAAAGAACGCATGATATCTCGAAGAATGCAGTGGTTACAAAAACAACTCGTGATCATGCGGCAGGAGATTGCAACAAAGGAGCGTGCGCATGAGTACGCCGTTGAAGAATTGAATAGGGTTAGTGAGTTGAATGATCGACTGACACAGCCGCTTAAAGATGTGGCCAGGGCGATGAATGAAAGGAGTTTAGGGAGGAGATGGCTACAGGGGGAATTACCGTGGGCTAATGCTGTGCATATTGGGAATGATGTGCCGAATCTTGCTATGATTATGACACAGAGAGAGTTACGATAGCCGGACGTTGATATGTACATGATTTGACATGGTAGGCGGAAACAGCGACTATTATCCATTCTTCAGCGTTCACTAGCAAATGGAATATTCCTGCCCGTTAGAAGTAGAGATTTAGATCACTTCCCGTATCGATGTGACAGGTGAAATATGGCTTGAATTGGGTAGGAGTCGATGTGCCAATTGAGTTGTAATATCCTCCTGTCCGATTCTATAGACATGTCCAAACTCTACAACCCTCGGTGATAGACTTGAAGCATCAGCTGAGATGTACACTTTCATGGATTGTAAATCACAGGTTTCTCAACAGCAAGGCATGTTAGAGCATCACCCAATATAGGATACCTTTCCAGATAAACAAGAACTCTTCACCAAAGTCCCGAGTGAAATACAGGAGGTTAACATCTCACTCTTCGACACTGAAGAATCAGCTACAGAGTTTACGACGAGGGTAATATCGATGCTGGAGCTCTATGGGAGGATATTGGATATTTACGTCCCGTGCTTTAAAATCGGAATATCATCAGTGTATCATAGGGTTCTATTCAATTCAAATGTGTGAATGTGTTTGAACCAGGGAGATTGGATGTGTGGCTGATGTGCATTCAATCGAGACAAAAGCTAAGACGATCCGAACGTGAATGTGTGAAATGGTATGTATATGAGTATTGATATAACATGAATGTCTAGAAGCTCCGATCCTATGATTCTCACCCGTAGAAACTCAATTGACAGTACAGCTGGATGGTTGGAGAAGTAATATTGCAGGATGCATACACATATACACCTCACGCCATGACTTTGGTATTTCAATAGGTGGTGTTATATGTGTACGCAATCACGGAACTCTAAAAAATGATATATTTAAAGTATAGAGAAAGAAGATATTCTATTTTGCATTACATTTCGAAATTTGGTGAAGAAAGCAGAAAATGATACATGTACAAATGCCAAACACTCGAGAAGCAAGTGCATAAACAACAACACGTCTTCAGGATATAACCTTTCTATTCTAGCAGCCACCAACTTGAAACCAAACATAAAGGTATTGTTCCCATTCTGCCAACATCCTAGAATTCTCTGTCCAAGCCCAACTACTCCACATATTATTCGTCAATCTTATAGCATTTCCATTTTGTGCCCAGCACATTTTTTCGTCGAATTGCCTCATGTCACTCAAGATCCCCCTCGAATCCCAAAGCTGGTCCCTGAATTTCCACCATGCAGAACCCGTAGTGCCTGGTTGTTGACAGCATCTCTCTCCAGTATCCATCCCATCCCAACCGAGGACCATTCCCTACTTCTTCGCATCCTTCTTAACTTTCGGCTTCGCATACGGCTTGTTTGTTTCGTAGGAAATCCAAAATGCAATTCCAGCCAACACGAACAATCCAATCAACACTAGAATCAATTGGACGAAGAGAAATGGGGTTGCTTGGAGAACCGCGGTGGCTTTAGGCGTGAAATTCAACCATTTGAAGGCATTGGGTCCGGAGAATGCTTGTCCCATTTTGGCTTATTGTGCTTGCGTAGAGGTTAAGTATGGAGATGAGGATAAGGTCCCGGATTGAAGAACAGGGTTGAATTGGCAAGCTGGGTGAATGTATGATTCGAAAGGATTGTGATGATGGACTTGATCGATGTCAATTATCTCGAAAGGGTGGAGAATTCGATCCGGTCAACAGAAGGCAAGTAGTAGCACGATTTTTTAACAATGCAGACAATGTACGAAATACAGACAGAGAGAGAGAGAAATAAGAGATCAAAACCTAAGACGGGACAGGAGACGTTCTCCCCTAAAAAGCTAAGATATATGAGACAGTCTACTGGCGTTTCAAATCCTTGGCATGGTGTTACTATGAGCCCATGTTTTGAGGCTCAGTGAGGGATGCTGGCGGGGGGGGGGGGGGGGGGGGGGGGAAGCTGGAGGAGAGCGGTCGAGGAGGATTCAGCATGTTACAGATTTGTAGGAGAGTTGTCGCAGGAAACAGAGCTTTGACAATATTATTGGGTTATGGTAATAGTGGTTAGTGGATCATATGGGGTTATTAACTAATATTATATAGGGTTACGACTTGATGTGCGCAGGGCACCAAAACATAATTTATACTCATATCCCCATAGAATAGCGGCAATATTAATGTTTGAAGAATATCAGCCTGTCTAATTGTTTTGACATGGTACTTGTATAATGTGGAATACACCTAGTTGCTCAAATTTATCGACTATATTGCTCTTTCAAACAATGTTTCCGTAAATCTTATGTCATGTTCAGTAAAATAACCGTATTGAATGTTGGAGCCATTACTTGATGTCTAGATCAAGAACATCTCATCATCTCTAGAAAGGCCCTTTTATGTCTTGTAAGATGCAGTGCATCACTTAAGTTCATCCATATGCACAGATCCATAACCTCATCCAAACACGAATGTATTTGAGTGAAGTCTGCTCTACGCCAGCAATGATGTGAACAAACACATATCGCAGATCACTTACTTGTATTGTATGTCGTATATCATGTGAGAAATTTATTCTTCAAGTAGTAGTCGATCGGTTTCCGACCTGGATTGTGAATCTAATAGTGGTTCCGAGGGTGTCTCGGGGCTTAGAGACACGCTTTCAACCTTTTGCAAGATACCCTTTCCAGCTCTACTCAACGCTTCCATAATACTTTCCATTGATCGACTTTCCTGCCTGACAGCTTTTAAAGCGGCTTCCACCTCTTCACAACGCTTTTGCAGTCGCTCGATTTCTGCTTTCAGAAGATTGGCCTGGTCATCTTTTGCGCGAAGTTGTCCGTCACTTGTCGGTTCTGTCGATGCCATACCGGTCGATCCTTCATCATTGTGCTCACGAGATGAAGGCGCATTTTTCTCAATGCATTCCGGTATGAGTGACTTTGCGCCAAAATCTTCGGTATCAATCTTCATCCCAGCACTCAATTGTTCAATTCTTTGCTCCATCTCAAGTCTCAACTTATTCCAGTTCTTTCTCTCTTCCCCAGTCTTTTCTTCTAGTTGATTAGCCATCTTCACAATCTCGACGTACTGTGCCCCTTCTTGCACCGCTGCTTGTCGGTAGGTGTCCCTACTTTTCGCAAGATCTTCGAGGTCTGCCTCCAATTCGAGAACTTGAGCATGTAATCGCGTTTTTTCTTCAGTAAGGCTAAAAATTTCGATATCGGAAACCTCATGTTTCTTCTCGAGGGCGCTCGCTCGACTTTGAGATCGCGAGAAAGCAGCAAGGAGCTTATCGTGTTCACTCTGCAACGATGATAACGCGATCTTTTGGATAGAAACCTCATGTTGAAGCGCTGCTGTATGGACTTGCAATGCGCTATCCGATGACTGCGCATTTTTAATGGGAGGAAGCAAATTGTTAGATGTGTGGGAGTTTGATGATTGAGACGGGCCCCCAGACAGACCCGTGTATGATGTCGACCCTGAAGGAGATGAGAAGCTGACAGAGGTCGGAGATGGAGACGGAAAAGCTCGTCCTGGTGGAGATGGTAGTTGTCGAGCTGGGGCTGAAGGAGGATTCATATTCGAGAGCCTCCGCCTCGTATTGTCGATTGACAAATGGGTGTAGTTAGGAGATTGAGTTCTTATGGGTGGAAGTCCTTCACTGAGCGATTTAGCCATAGACTTGCGTCTTTGATGCATTTCAGAATCAGATGTGCCCATGTCATTCAACGTAGTTCTCTGGTGATCATCTTCAATACGCCGCTTCATGATGATTAAAGGATCATATGGGGTCACACTGTTAACAACATCCTTTTTGAGGGGCACTTTTGAAGACCCTGGAGGGATCTGCTGGACGAATTTATCGGCAAGCTCGTTGACTTTGTTGATCTTGGTAAGTATCCAATGGAGTGTTTGTTTTAGGCCAAAGTCAATCATTGGAGGTGGGTCTCCAGAAGGAAGAAGACGCAACTGTGAGTGGGCCTAATATTTTGTAAGCATGATTCGAAGGATTACATATGAGTATAACGGAATGAACCCTTTCGATGACAAGAACCAAGCACTTTGCTGGTACTTACTGGATTGATACCACGCTTCTCGGAATCTATACCCGAACGGAGCGTCTCCGCTAGCTGAGTAAGCCCAACGCTGCAAGCTTGTGTAACAAGGGCAAGTTCAGGGTTCTTTTGGCAATGCTCGCAACATTCTGGTGAAGACTCTTCTTTTTGATCGAATTGAGTCTGCCGCCTGCACTGACGACATACATTAGACATCTGTTGCGGGGAGTCCACCCGACCATTAACGGTCAATCGAGGAGGTTGAACAAGAGCAGAAGCATTCTGGATCGTTTGATTATAATCATGACCATATCCATTTGAATCTAAAGAGTAAGGGGTTAGTTGGTACTTTAAGATACCGTTTTATAGGCTACTCTAAACACCTACTGTGTGCCTGCGATGGGGCCATTTTCCCAAGTGCGTCTAGATCCACCCTCGCTACTCCTTTGTAATCACCCCCCTCGTAACGCGACCTTTTCACGGCCGAATTTTCGCCATTCCGAGTATGTTGGTTGTTTTGAATCGCCCAGTTCCCTGAATTGTCATATACTGGATACTGTAAAAGTGGTCCAGCTTCAATTGGTGGCAGTGTTCCGCGATGCCAACTATTACTACTTCCGTTTTGTTGTGCTGGTGTTCTGGTATCGTCTTCCCAAGGACGTTTAATGCCTGATCGATACGATTGGGGAGACTCCGTTGATCGTGCATCCATCACCGCACTGCCGATACCACTATATTACTGGGACTGTAGACAATGGCCGATCCATCCGTCCTTTTGATTCCAAACGATAGTATCGTCGTTTCCGAGTTCAAACTGGTGCGCGCGCACGGGAGATATGTTCTACCGATGAAGTCTATATCACAAGAATCATCAGTATTCCGAAGGTATTTCAAGAACTTGTAGCCAGACATGATAAGAAATCACTGCTTACATGTTTTCTGTATAAAGGTTAAGGAAAGTGATATACTCCGGCATATGCAGCAGATAGCCCTGTGATCTAGGTACTGTCTGCACACCATCTGAAATATATACTGTACGATGGAGAAGTGAGAAAAGCAAGTAGTCAAATGACAAATCTCTTTACAGAGATACGACGCCGGCCATGATTTGGAACAATTGGATGAAGGACGTTGTGCACTGTGCACTATGCATTCTAAGCTCTGTTACATAGCTTTTCTCTATCGAATCTGAAGGGACAGGCTCGTACAGTACGGAGTAGTAATATCATTCATACATTCATAAGAGAAAGTGGGTTTGGTCAGGGAGTGTGTGAGGCAGCGTTAGCCTTACAAACTGTGCTGACGCGCTGAGGATCTTTGCTCGATATTACAATACACTCGGTAAGGTGTTCTAGTCGATTGAACGTTCATGATGATTCGCTAAGAAAGTGAGGTAATGCAAAACGGAAGAGGGGGCGAAATAGATCCTTGGATTATGAATTTCTGTGTTTTACCCTTGGCTGATTCCATATTCCTTGTATCAATTATCCGAATAGACGGGAATCGGGCTGCATTGAAAGGGTTGACGTTGCTAACGCATCAATGGATGTGATGGAAATCATTTGATCCCTCCCTCCGAGAGTCCCTCGAACGGTTTATATTTCGTGGCTGACTGGCTTTTCTCCTTACGAGACTAGTATCGAACGTGACAAGGGTCAATTTTGATTCACAATATGACAGTGATACAGCATCTGGTAGTTGCTTGGCCTGGCAAACTGAGGGTAGATTAGGTAGGCAATTAGATGGTTGAATAGTATACCTCGCAGACCGTTTGACGAGCGGGCTCAACAACCACCAGGATAAGAAGAAAGCAAAGGTTGTTGATTTTGTATATTAAGGTTTGGATTAATAGCCATCATATCCTTTTCTTTTCAGGAGATGGGGTTGGTGTGGTGTGGTGTGATTGATGGTTGGTGGTTGGTGGGTTGTGGTGGTGATCATTTTTGGCGGTTGGGAGTTAGGGGGTTGGGATTCGGGAACATTGGTGGAAGTCAAAAACGCTTACACATATAAGGCCTTGCTTACTCAGATTTTAACATCTCCACTGAGTTTGACTAAATTACCCGGCTGAGTCAATTTTGAACCTTGTTGTCTATATCCTCATTCAGAGATTCGAGAATTAGGTAGCTTTATTAAAATTTGTGAGTAAGTATTATATAAGTGTCTGAGTGACTGTTTGAATGTTTGAATGGTTAGCTGAATACGCCCAAGGATTTACCGTTAGTAAGTGAGAAAGGGGTATATTTTTGCGTGCATGACAGAAGCCTACCTGCAAT